AGCTATACTGGCAATCATTGAAAACATGGAAGGAGGCCAGTTTTAAGTGATTACTATTATTATAGAAAAAGATTAGGAACATTTAGGAATAAGAAGTTTACAGATCTGAAACGTCACAGTTCGGAAATGTCGCAGTTTTATCACCAAGTAGTTTTTAAAGGTCTAGAACAGGATTTAAGCTTCCAAAAAAAAATTTTTTTTTTGAAATTTCTGGGATAGAATCGCGTAGCTAGGTGATTGATTTATGACTATCTCTCTTTTGGGTTCTAGAAGATTCTATGATAACACTATGATAACATTTTTTGTGGGTTAGGTGATAAATTGATGGATAAGAGACGGATTTTCTAGCAGGCTATTTGGTGATATGGATGTTCAAAGGGGGTGTTCGATTTTGAAGAAAAAAATATTAAAAAAACTACAGTAATTCAATCAGTTGGTTTTGAAATAAGTCAATTCCTAGATTTTGGAATTTGTCAGGTTATAAGCTTCAAAATAAGTATAAACATGACCATAGTTGGTAAAATGTGAAGTTTCGACTTTAAAGGCGCATAGGGGTCGGAAATTTCGAAGAAATTTTAAAATGGAGCAAATATTGTCGTGTTTAGGCTCATTTTGAAGCTCTGAACTTGAGGAACTTGAATTTGTTTTTTTCACAGTTACTGCACAAGAATAAGTCAAGATACGGTAAGATGAAATTTTTAAGATTTTGAAAAATCAAACTTTTGCCAAATTTTGTCATGTTCAGGCTCATTTTGAAGCTCTTTTTCAACTTGATTGATTGCTCAAATTTTCAAAAAAATCGGACAGAGACTAAAAAAGTTACAAAGCTTTAAAGCTAAAAGTTAGAGTGCAGAGAACACGCTGCGTCTCTCACCCATTTTTCAAAATGGAACAATTCTAGTCATGTTCAGGCTCATTTTGAAGCTCTAAACTTGATAAAATCAAAAATCTAGTTTTCGAAAATCTAGCTCAAAAATGAGCCAGGATACGGTAGTTTGAAATTTTGACTTTAAAGGCACATGACGGGTCGAAAATTTCGTAATCGACCAAATCTAGTAGTGTTTAAGCTCGTTTCAAAGTTTTTTTTCAGCCAATTCGAATGCTATAATTTTCAATAAAATTGAACTAAAACCGACAGAGTTACAGTACTTGCAAGCGAAAGGTTCAAGTTCAGAGAAGCGAGACACGCTGCTGAGTCCAAAATTTCGGAGCTTCAAAATGAGTATAAGCAAGTCAGCGAAAAACAGTAATAAAAATTTTTGAAAAACTACCGTAACCCTGTCCGTTGTTTTTGAAATCGGATAAATATTAAATTTTTGGATTCACTAAATTAAAAGCTTCAAAATGAGCCTAAACACGACTAGAATCCTTCAAACTTGAGAATTGAGGTTAGAGACGCAGTGTGTCTCGCTTTTCTGCACTCTAGCCTTTAACTTAAAAGCGCCGTAACTTCTTTAGTTTCTGTTCAAATTCATCAAAAACTAGGGCATTGAATTTGTCTCGTTTTGAGCTTCAAAATAAGTATAAACACGACTAGGCTCCGCCCATTTTCATTTTTTGGGTTTAAAAGCGCATGTGAGTCCAAAATTTTTTTTTGAAAGTAGGTCATGATTATACTCATTTTGAAGCTCTAGAACAGTCAAATTTATTGCTTATATTTTCAAAGAAATAAGGCTCAAACTAAGGAAGTTACGGTAGTTTGAAGAAAAGATGGCGAGAGCGCAGAGAAGCGAGACACACTGTGTCTCTAACCTCAAAGTGGGCGGAGCCTAGTCGTGTTTAGGCTCATTTTGAAACTCGAATCATGACAAATCAAATGAGCTAAGTTTTATGCTAAAACTGAGAAGTTTGAAGAAGGTTATGGTCAATTTTCGAATGGCTAAAATTTCGGAAAGTTTAAAGGCGCATGCGAGCTCAAAATCGCAAGCTAACCTAGTGGTATTTTGGTTCATTTTGAAGCTCTTAAAAAGACAAATCGATCTGACTTAAATTCAAAAAATTTGAGGTTCAAAGAAAAGAGTTATGGACCAAAGAAAAAAAAAGAAGAAAAGTGAACGGGGGAATCGGATCATTTTGTAGGTCAAAATATAAACATATGAGGAAGAATGGGGGGCGACGCCCATCCATTATGATAAATTGCGGAATTTGGTTGCGTCTCTGATAACCTCCCCGCCTGACCACACCCAAAAATCGCCCCGTCTACAGTAATCCCGTTCGTTTTCACCCCAGCCATCAGTCGTTTTTTTTTCTTCGAATACCTTGATCGTCGATCATTCTAGAGGAGATTGGGAAGTCGCGGAATTTAGGGAATACGGTAGTTTTTTTTGAAAAGAACATTTTTTGGTGGGGTTGGGTCATGTGGACGACCAGGACGAGAAATACAAAATAATATATAAAAATAGACGGAAAAAAAATGATATGTTCGATTAGCTGATCACTTGATGGTGGTTGATCAAGAAAACAAGGGGATCACTAGATGTATAGTGTTTTTGGAATCTTTTTGAAATCAATAAATTTGGACTCAGCTTGTTGAGAGCTTCAAAATGAGCCTAAACATGACTAGATTGGCTCAATTTCAAAAATTTGGAACTTTGTCAAAAAATCAAAAACTACCGTAATACGGTCAGTTGTTCTCGAAATCATTTGATTTCTAGATTTTTGATTTTTTCAGCTTATGAGCTTCAAAATAAGCTTAAACACGACTAGGATAGCTCAATTTTGAATTTTGACCCACCAATCGCGACGCGACCGCAACGCACTTGTCAAAATTCAAAGTTGAGCTAGCCTAGTCGTGTTTAAGCTCATTTTGAAGCTCATAATTTGAAAGATTCAAAATTTTGAGTTTCACAGCTGTAGCACAAAAATGAGCCAAGGTACGGTAGAATGAAAATTTTCAACTTTTCGATTTTTTGGACCAAAAATTCCAAGAAAATCTTCAAATCCAGTTGTGTCGAAGCTCTTTTTTAGTCAAGTCGATTGTTCCATTTTTCAGCCAAATTGGCCTAAAACCAACAAAGTTATGGCACCTTTAAGTTAAAGGCTAGAGCGCAGAGAAGCGAGACACACTGCGTCTCTTACCTCAATTCTCAAGGTTGAAGGATTCTAGTCGTGTTTAGGCTCATTTTGAAGCTCGTAACTTGAAAAGTTCAAAAATGGCATTTTCATGTGGAAAGTCCAACTGGCTGGGGCGCTTTAGGCGCGTTTCAGTGAGCCTAGAATGCAGAGATGCGAGACACACTGCGTCTCTAACCTAAAAGTGGACGAGCCTAGTCGTGTGGGTGCTCATTTTGAAGCTCTCAACCTCAGAAGTTCAGAAATATGTTTCATGTCCAAAAACTCAAATGGCTGGGGCGTTTTTGGCGCGTTTCCCGCTTAGTTTTCCAATTTTGAATTTTCAAAATTTTAAAGGCGCATAAGATGCCGAAATTGAAAGCGAATCTAGTCAAGTTTAGGCTCATTTTGAAGCTCTAAACGAGCAAAATTCGAATTTTCCAATTTGAAAACGTTTTAAATCTGAATTTCCGTATTTTAGTCATGTTTTCCTTCAAATTTTCATTTGATTTACTTAATCTCTCAGAAACTTCATTCTCCTAATCGTCTCTTCCCACCGGAAACGACCAAGAACGAACGAATGGGCGTCTCTTTCTTTTTTCTCTAGCCACTCTCCTCAAATCCCATACTATCTCTTCTTTTTGGTGATTAGAACACGTTTCTTTCAGTCTCCCCACCCTCCAAAAACGGTTAATTCGCTCTCTGATCACTACTTTTAATGATTGAGAGAAGGACACTAGTCATTTTGGGGGGTTTAGATAAGAAAAATGAAAAAAAATAAGCTAAAAATGTGAAATTTAGAGCCCAAATTTCAAAATAATGTTAGTCCACAAACCGCGCCAAAGACGCCCCAGCCACGCGAATTTTCCTTATGAAACCTTCATTTTTGAACTTTGCAGGTTAAGAGCTTCAAAATGAGCCTAAACACGACTAGAATCCTTTAACCTTGAGAATTGAGGTTAGAGACGCAGTGTGTCTGGCTTCTCTGCACTCTAGCCGTTTTGCTTAAAAGTACCGTAACTTTGTTAGTTTTTGACCAGTTCTGTTGGAAATATAAGCAATCCATCTGGCTGGAAGTGTGCTTCAAAATGAGCCTAAACACGCCTAGGCTCCGCCCACTTTGGTCAGAGACGCAGAGTGTCTCGCTTCTCTGCACTCTAGCCTTTAAAATCTACAGTAACTCACTTAGTAATTGTTCGAATCTGTCAGAAACTAGAGCAATGAATTTGTCTCCCAATTAGTTTTGAAACGAGTATAAACATGACTAGGCTCCGCCCATTTTCAATTTTCGACATTAAAGGTGCATAGGGGTCCAAAAAATTTGCTATTTTGAAAGTAGGTCATGATTATACTCATTTTGAAGCTCTGCCACAGTCAAACTTAGTGCACTTATTTTTAACAGAATTGCATGCAAACTAAGGAAGTTACGGTAGTTTTAAGAAAATGAAGGCTAGAGTGCCAGAGAAAGGAGACACACCGCGTTGCTAACCCCAAAGTGGGCGGAGCCTAGTCGTGTTTGGGCTCATTTTGAAGCTCTTGACGAGGCAAATCAAATGGAATCAAAACGAACGTTGCATTCTAAAACTTTTCCAAACTTTTTCCAAAAACAAAACTTGTTTAATTTGCCATTCTACCGTATCTTGGCTCATTTTTGTGCTAGACCTCTAAAAAGTGATTTTCTCATTTCCTCAAGTTATGAGCTTTACAATGAGTCTAAACAGGACTAGGCTAGCGCAATTTTGAGTTTTGACCTGCCAACCGCGTCGCGACCGCGACGCGACCGCAACGCACTGATCGAAATTCAAATGTTGACAGAAAGTGGTCGTGTTTGGGCTCATTTTGAAGCTAAAAACACAACAAAATAGATAAAAAACATGATTTGTACATAATTTTATCCAATTTCACATAAAAAGTAAAAATAATAAATACAATTGTTTAGGTTCGAAATCTCAAACTCTTCCATTTGGCGGATTTTTCGAATAATTCGGAGTCATGAGTAACTTTCCAGCCACAAACAGACTTCCAACAATTACAGTAATACCGACGATTCCGAAGATTACGCTGAAAATTTTTAATGTTGTTGAAATTTTGGTATTTTTCAAAAGAATATATATAAATTCCATGTTTGGTCATATGTGACCATTTTAATAGAATTATGTCACGAATAGACATTTTGGAATCTTCTAGAAAAATTTTTGAAAAATTTTTTTTTCAAAAATTTTCAAAAACTTACATTGCCCAGGTTTCGAAGTGAAAACAGCACTGGAATGGATTATCATCACAGCACGAGTAGTAATGAATGAATGAGTCTGTCGGGCAGCTGAAAATAACAGATTTTCAGAGAAAAAGTTGAAAAAATGTCTTTAATCGCTCCAAATGAGAAATTGGTTTCCATAAAACGCGCCAAAAGCGCCCCAGCCGTTTGAATTTTCTGGACGAGAACTCGATTTTCGAACTCTTCAAGTTAAGAGCTTCAAAATGAGCCCCCACACCATTAGGCTCCGCCCACTTTTTGTTAGAGACGCAGTGTGCCTTGCTTCTCTGCACTCTAGCTTTCTTTTCTTAAAACTACCGTAACTGTGCTAGTTTTTGTCATATCTTGTTGAAAATTACAGTAATCGATTTGGCTGGAAAAGAGCTTCAAAATGAGCTCAAACACAACAAGGTTAGCTCAATTTTGAGATTTGCCACTTTTCGTGGCGGGACCCAAAAAAAAACGCAAAATTTCAAAATTAATAAGACCTAGTCGTGTTTATAGTCATTTCGAAGCTCATGACTTGAAATGTTCAAAAATGTTAGATTCAATCCATTTCAAAACCTACTGATCGGGTTACAGTAGTTTTTGATTTTTCAAAATTTCGCGAGTTTTCCATTCTACCGTACCTTGGCTCATTTTTGTGCTAAAACTGTCTAAATCAAATTTCTCAATTTCCCTAGTTCAGAGCTTCAAAATGAGCCTAAACACGACTAGATTCGCTGCATTATGAAATTTCCGACTCTATGCGCCTTTAAAGTCGTAATTCACATGAAATTTCAAACTTTGTCAAATCTTGTCATGTTTATACTCATTTTAAAGCTCTTATTTAGCCAAATCGATTGCTTCAAATGTTATCAAAGTCAGACAAAAACCAACAAAGTTATGGCACCTTTAAGTTAAAGGCTAGAGCGCAGAGAAGCGAGACACACTGCGTCTCTAACCTCAATTCTCAAGATTAAAGGATTCTAGTCGTGTTTAGGCTCATTTTGAAGCTCGTAACTTGAAAAGTTCAAAAATGACATTTTCATGTGGAAAGTCCAACTGGCTGGGGCGCTTCAGGCGCGTTTTATGGAAAAACGCTCTTTTCAGAATTTGAAAAAAAAAGAAGAAGAAGAACTCACTCCTCACCAACGGGTCCCATTCCCATTTGTCCCATTGGATTGATAAACGGGCATGACCATACCGAAGGGGTACAGTGTACCAGGGATACTGTACCCAGAAGGAAAATTAGGACAGATTTTAGCATTGCGCAATAGTCGAATGATCGAAAAATGCGGGGGGGATTCTATTTCGGGGAAAAAGTAGATCAACTAAAAAAAAAAGATGAATTCTTTGTTTCGTTTCAGTTGATCGACTCCGGTATCCGGTTGTTTCTCTCTTCTTTTTTTTATTTCGGCGGGACGAAGATTAAGTGGGCGGAGTCGGGAATTCTCTGTTTATGGCAGTATGTGTATGTGTATGTGTCATCATAATAGAGTTATATATGAGGGTAAAAGAGGAGACTGGATTTTGATTGTTACTGTGTGTGTGTGTGTGTTTTTTTTTGAAAGTTTATAGGATCGGAAAAATAGGGCTCAAAAAATTTTTCAAAAAAAAATGTTTTTTTCGAAAATTCCAAACTTTTCCTGTTACCAAAGTCGCTGTAACTTTCTTCAAACTCAATATTTTTCAACAAATCAAATTGGAAAATGTAGATCTTTAGGAGCTCTACAAAATGGTGTAAAATTCTACATATTATCAGTTATCAGGGGTTCAGCTCGAGCGCTTGAGCTTACCTGACCTCGTTTCATGGAACTACAAGATTCGAGTCACTAAAATTAGCTGTAACTTTCTTCAAACTCAATATTTTTTAACAATTCAAACTGGAAAATGTAGATCTTAAGAAGCTCTACAAAATGGTGTAAAATTCTACATATTATCAGTTATCAGGGGTCCAGCTCGAGCCCTTGAGCTTACCTGACCTCGTTTACAAGATTCGAGTCACTAAAATTAGCTGTAACTTTCTTCAAACTCAATATTTTTCAACAAATCAAATTGGAAAATGTAGATCTTTAGGAGCTCTACAAAATGGTGTAAAATTCTACATATTATCAGTTATCAGGGGTTCAGCTCGAGCGCTTGAGCTTACCTGACCTCGTTTCATGGAACTACAAGATTCGAGTCACTAAAATTAGCTGTAACTTTCTTCAAACTCAATATTTTTTAACAATTCAAACTGGAAAATGTAGATCTTAAGAAGCTCTACAAAATGGTGTAAAATTCTACATATTATCAGTTATCAGGGGTCCAGCTCGAGCCCTTGAGCTTACCTGACCTCGTTTACAAGATTCGAGTCACTAAAATTAGCTGTAACTTTCTTCAAACTCAATATTTTTCAACAATTCAAACTGGAAAATGTAGATCTTAAGAAGCTCTACAAAATGGTGTAAAATTCTACATATTATCAGTTATCAGGGGTCCAGCTCGAGCCCTTGAGCTTACCTGACCTCGTTTACAAGATTCGAGTCACTAAAATTAGCTGTAACTTTCTTCAAAATCAATATTTTGAGAAAATTCAAATTGGGAAATGTAGATCATGAAAAGTTCTACGAAACAATATAACATATAAGTCCCAAAAAACATTTTTTTGTGAAAAATTTTGAAAAATATATTTTTTTTCAAAATTCTAGACATTTTTCAGTTTTCTTGTTCGAAAATGAGATTTTTGTCAATATCAGCAAATTTGACTAAATTGAAAAATTAAAAAAAAATCACGAAAATATGAAAAATTCCAAAAAAAGTTTTTTTTTGAATTTTTTAAAATTAAAGAGTCCCTAAATTAGCTGTACCTTTCTTCAAAATCAATATTTTTTAAAAATTCAAATTGGAGGTTGAAAAATTCTCTAAACGAGATACTTTTGAAATTCAGAATGAAATTCTAAAAATTTCAATTTTCTGAATTTCTGATCTTTTGGATTTTCTGAATTTCTGAATTTCTGGATTTTTGAATTTCTGAATTTCTAAATTTCTGAATTTCTGAATTTCTGAATTTCTGAATTTTTGAATTTCTGAATTTCTAAATTTCTGAATTTCTGATTTTTTGGATTTTTGAATTTCTGAGTTTCAGATCTTTTGAATTTCTGAATTTCTAAATTTTCTGAATTCCTGAATTTTCTGAACTCCTGAATTTCTGAATTTTTGAATTTCATTGCCAATTTTCAGAATTTTTCGAACTTTCAAAAATTTGAATTTTTTCAAAAACTCTGTCTGTCTGTCTATCCATCCAGATGTCCCCAAGAATTCAAAAAAGCGACAATCGTCACACCATATTCATATCTACCAAAAAAACAAAAGAAACGCGTAAATAAACACATACAATTGGAGAGGTACCATAATTTAAGAGGAACATTCATAAAAGGGGGCGGGGCTTAAGAGGGGGCTTGAGAAAAAAATCAGAAAAAGGTGAGGAGGCAGAATTTTTCGACTTTTTTGGAACGACGATTTTTTAACAAAAAAGGGGGCGGGGCTTTAGAATATATACTCGCTTTAATTACGATTAATTGGAGGAGGTTGAGAATGATGGAGAGAGAGAGAGAGAAGAGAGATTAGAGAAATTAGGACAATAATAATAATAATGTTTGGGTTTCAAAAAAAATTTTTTTCAAATTTTCAGAATTTTCCAGAAATCGAAAAATTCGAAATTTCCAAAAAAAAATTTTTTTTTTGAAAATTCCAAAATTTCCAGATTTCCAGAATTTCCAAAACATCTGAAAAACTAAAAAAAAACATTGTTCTGGAACTACAAAAATCGATTGACCTGAGAACGAACAAAAACTGTGGAATTCTTCTGTGTGGGACAAAAAATGTGGGGTGGGCGGAGCCAAGAGTGGGCGGAGCTAGTACATTTAACACGAAAACACAAAAAAAAAATGGAAAATTGCACTTTTTTTAGGGAAAAATCCCTCAAAAATGATGAAAAAAAAATAATTAATCAGTGCCTATACAGAAAAATAGGGCTGAAAATCTGAAATTTTCAGCCCAAAAATCTGAAAAAAAATTTTCAAAACAATTCAGCGAAAAATTCAGCCAAGGGTTTTTGGGTCAAAATTTCCAGGTTTTCAGCCGAAAACTTGCAAAAAAAAATTCCAGATTTTCGGCTTAAAAGTTTCAGATTTTTCCAGATTTTCAGCCAAAAAAATGAGGGCTAGAGACCCCATAAACCAAATAGGCAAAAAATGGAAAATTCCAGGCATTTTTAGAAAAATCAAGAAAAATCCAACAATTTCGGTTGAAAATTTAAAGCTGAGCAATTCGACTATTTTTGGTCAATTTGGTGCATTTTTAGCGGTTTTTAGTTTAAAAAAGGGGGCAAAAATCGTCATTTTTCAGCCATTTTGACTCAAAAAACCTCAAAAAAGCTCAAATTTTCTAGAAAAATCTGGAAATTTCTCAACAAATTCTAAGCATCAACATTGAGCAACGCCGAAAACTTGTTATTCCCGAGTGGCGTCTGTTTCGCCTCCTTCTTCTTCTCCTTCTTCTTGTCCTTCTTGTTCTTTTTCGGTGTAGACGGCGTCTGTAGAGCGTCCTGCTGAGCAGCTGACGCGTCTCCAGATGACGACGTCGTCGTCGTCGTCGGTTTTGATGCTTCTGCGGATTCTGAAGGCGGCTTTGCGGTGCTAGTTGACGTCGTCGTTGTTTTGTCATCCTGAACGTTGAAACATTTGAAAAAACGTCGTGAAAAATCGCCAAAAAATGACAACTGTTCATGACAAAAAAACATTGCTTTTTAAGCTGAGCAATCGGCCTTCTAGGCTCATTTTCAGCCAAAATTCCAAATTTCTAGACTCATTTTAGGTCATTTAAGCTCATTTTTAGTCGAACATCGAGCTTCCAGTTTCATTTTCAGCCAAATTTCCAGCCGAAAATCCCCCCCCCCCCCCCAAAAAAAGAATTTTAAGCTGAGCAATCTGATCCCCCTACCTTCTGATTATTCTCCTTCTTCTCCTCCTCAATTATCGTCTTCTCCCCACCATCCTGACTCTTTCTGCTTGAATAGGCCCCTCGGGAAGCTCCGCCCGCTCTTCCTCCTCCACGTCTCTGCTGATAATTGCCACGTGAAGCCGTCGTCGTGGTCGTCGTTGTTGTCACCGACGACGTCGATTTTTCAGTTTTTCCAGATTCTGAGCCTCCAGAAATCGATGATCTTCTGTATCCACCACGATCAGCGTATCTTCTCTTCTGATGGCCCGATTGATTGTGCGCGGAGCTTGCTCCTCCTTTCTCAGCAGTAGCAGCAGCAGCTACCGTATCTCCAGCGGCTCCAGAATCCTTAGAAGACGTCGTCGTCGTCTTCTCGATTTGTCCCATCGTCGCCGACTTCTGAAGTTGATGATGATGATGTCCGTGATGGTGACCTCGTGCCGTGTACGGCTTCAGCGATGGACGTCCTCGAGCGCCACGTGGATAAGAATTCTGATGATGTGACGATGATGCTGATGACGTGGCGGCGGCGGCTGGAGCTGCTTCAGATGACGTCGATTTGTTCATTTCGGATTGAGCCGAGTCTGACGCCGTCGACATCTTCTGAAACTGGCGTTTCGGTTAGAAAGAACTTCGGGGGGGGGGGGGCAATTTTGAGCAATTTTGGAGCCAAAAATGAGAATTTTAAGGCTGAGCAATCTCAAAAGCGTTTTTTTTGGGTCATTTCCAGTAAGAAATTCCTATCTGTTCGACTGGAATTTCGTCTATAAAAAAGCCTAATGTTGGCCTAAAAAGCCTAGAAATCAGACTAAATTGCGCGTTACCTTAGCATCTTCGGTCGGATATTGAATCGGATCAACTGGCGGCGTTTCGTCGTCCTTCAGAAGACTCTGATTCTGATTCTGATGGAGTTGATGATCGATGGATTCACGTTTTTTGATTCTGGAAGCACAACAATAAAAATTTCAGTCATGATTTCCGTGATTTTTGAGCTAAAAAAAAACTTGAAAAAAATTTTTTTTTTCGAATTTTCAAAATTTCAGAAAAATCTGAAAACGACATTCAGAAGCGCCGAGAACCCCTAAAACATGCTCAGCACAAAAGCAAAAAGAGTTTAGCACCGAGTGGAATCGAACCCCGGTGTTGAGATTCGTAAGTTTTGCTGTCCAAAAACCCACTAGGCCATGTAGACAATTGTTTGAAAATCGAGTATTTTCTCGATTTTGATGGTTTTTTCTTTGTTTTGAGTCGTTTGGGCTCATTTTAGCGTATTTTAACCCCCAAAAAGACCAAAAAAATGAAAAAAAAGTTTTTTTTTCGCAATTTTAGATTTTCAAAATTTCAGAAAAACCTGAAAATGACATTTAGAAGTGTCTAGAAGCCCTAAAACATGCTCAGCACAAAAGCAAAAAAGATTAGCGCCAGGTGGAATCGAACCCCGGTGTTGAGATTCGTAAGCTTGCGTGTCCAAAAACCCACTAGGCCATGTAGGCAATTTTTTGAAATCTCGTTTTTTCTTCGTTTTCCAGCGTTTTTCTATGTTTTGAGTCGTTTTAGGGTCGTTTTAGCGTGTTTTAACCCCCAAAAAGTCCAAAAAACGAAAAAAAAAATTGTTTCGAAAGTTCAGAAAAATCTGAAAATCACATTTAGAAGAGTCTAGAAGCACTAAAACATGCTCAGCACAAAAGCAAAAAGAGTTTGGCACCGAGTGGAATCGAACCCCGGTGTTGAGATTGGTAGATGTCGATGTCCCAAATCCCACTAGGCCATGCAAACAATTTTTTGAAAATCGCGTTTTTTTTCTCGATTTTTAGGTTTTTAAAGGGATTTGGGGTTTTTTGGGTCATTTTGGGATCGTTTCAGCGTGTTTTGAGCTCAAAAAAAGCCAGAAATTCGATTTTTGGATATGTTTAACCCCCCCCCCTCTCCCAAAAAAGCTCTAAAACTCACACAACCGATCCAGGCGGTGCTCCTTGATTATAAGAGTGTTGCTCGTCGGGATGATGTTGATACTGACTATGATGCCCTCCCTTCTGATAGTTGTGACGTGGATTCTGATGCTTGAAAGACGAGGAGCCACCGCTTCTCACACTCTCATGGGATATTGCTGTCGTCGTGGTAGTGGTGGTGCCCCCCGCTGATTCATGATCTCCCGCCAATTGCTCATCCTTCACTTCCTTCTGCTTCTCGGCTCTTCGTTTCTCCATTTCCAACAACTTGGCCTGTGTATCCACTGGCTTCGCATCTCCAAACGGATTCGCCGCCGGCTTCTTGGGCGCCACTTCTTCTGGATTCTGCGATAGCGACATTCTAGAAGACGTTCGTGAGAATCCATTATCATTGTAATTCGCTGATTCGGTCCTAGACGATCGGGCGGCGATGGATCCCGGCTGATGTTGATACTGATAGTTTTGAGATGATAGGCGGCAATCATTGCTGGAGGAGTTGTGCTGATAAGAGCCCGAGCGTTGAAGGGGTCCACCGTTTTGATGGTGATGGTGATCGTAGCCTCCGCTGTGTTGACGATCATACGGTTGCTGGAATCAGAATTTTCATGAAAATGGCAAAAAAAATTCGAGTTTCGAAATTTCAGATTTTCAGAAAAATCTGAAAATGACATTCAGAAGCGCCGAGAACCCCTAAAACATGCTCAGCACAAAAACAAAAAGAGTTTGGCGCCGAGTGGAATCGAACCCCGGTGTTGAGATTCGTAAGTTTTGCTGTCCAAAAACCCACTAGGCCATAGACGCAATTTTGTTAACGTCGTCGTTTTATCTCGATGTCGAGCGTTTTTTTCCAGCTTTCGGCTCGTTTTGGGCTCATTTTAGCGTAATTTAAAACCAAAAAAGCAAAAAAAAAACGAAAAGTGTTTTTTTTAATTTCAAAATTTCAGAAAAATCTGAAAATGACATTCAGAAGCGCCGAGAACCCCTAAAACATGCTCAACACAAAAACAAAAAAAGTTTAGCGCCAGGTGGAATCAAACCCCGGTGTTGAGATTCGTAAGTTTTGCTGTCCAAAAACCCACTAGGCCATGTAGACAATTTTTTGAAAATCGCATTTTTTCTAGAATTTTTAACGTTGTTTCTAGGTTTCTAGGTTTCAAGGCCTGTAGGAACCGATTTCAGGTGGTTTTAACCCCAAAAAGTTATCACTACTGTACTTCTAAAATGCCCAAAAATGCTTTAAAAAAATGGGTCCAAAGGATTACTGTAACCTACCCGTGGCGCTCGGAAACTGCGATTATTGTAGTCGTTGTTACCGTAGTTGTTGCTGTTATTGTTTCGATTTCCTGCAAAAATGTCGCGGTTTTAGGTCAGATTTAGGCCTAGAAATAGGCCTCAAAATAGGCCTATTTAGGCCCTTAATGGTCCCATTTTCAGGCCAATTCTCTTACCTCCACGACGATCGTGATATCCGCCAGCCGGCATTGTTCCATAGTGATTGTGATTGCGTGATCTGAAAAATGGCTTTTTTTTTTGGAATGGGGTCATTTTCAGCCAAATTTCAGCGATTTTCAGCTAATTTTTCCTAGGATTAAAATAAGACACTTCTAGGCCATTTTAGGCCGATTCTAGGGCCATTTTCAGTCATTTCCAGCCGTTTCAATCGATTTTAAGGTCATTTCGAGACCATTTTCGACCGATTTTTCCCTAGGATCATTCTAAGTCCATCTAGGCCCATTTCAGCCAATTTAGGCCGATTCAGGGGAGGTTTTGGGCTCATTTTCCGCCCAATTTCACTGATTTTCAGCCAATCTCAGAGCCATTTTCGGGGGCATTTTCAGCCAAAATTCATGTTTTTGGAGTCAATTTTTGGGGTCCTACATGTTCTGGGCAGCCAAATTTAGTGATTTTCGGTCAGTTTCATGTTTGGATCATTCTAGGCTATTCTAGGCCTTTCTAGACCAATTTCAGCCTAACTTTAGCCAATTTAGACCTAATTTAATCAATTTTGCGGCCATTTTCAGCCAATTCCAAGTGATTTCAGTCATTTTGGGGACCATTTCCAACAATTTTAGCTTGATTTTCGGCTGTTCTAGACCATTTCTTTTCAGACCATTTCGGCCAATTTTCAGTAAATTTCTCCTCCCAAAAAACCCCCTAAAAATGATGGCGTAATCGATCTGCGAAAATCTAATTTTTCGAATTTTCAGGCTTTTTAGGCCCCTTCTGGGCCTTTTTCGGGCTAAATTCGGGCCACTTTCAGGCGATTTTTTTCTCCTTTTCTAGCCAAAACGTGATTTTACAACGTCAATTTTGCCGATTTTGGGGACCATTTCCAACAATTTTAACTCATTTTCAGCCATTTTCAGCAAACCCCCCCCCCTTACCCCTTCTCATATCTGCCCGATTGTGAGTGTCGATCGCTGTTCAAGCTGCTCTGACTGTTATAATGATTCCGCTGATTGCTCATGTTTCGATGATCACGTCGTCCGCTGTTGTTGAAATGACTATCAGCACTCTCGTACTGTCGATAGTCTCCCGCATACCGCGACGTCACCCGCGCGACAGATTCTCGATTCTGACGTACGTACACCTTCAGAACGCGTCCCTTGAATTCTTGTTCGTGACGAGTCAGCGCGTGGATCAGCCCATTTTTCGACTCGAATTCGATTTCAGCGTTTCCATCCTCTTTCCGAATATCGATTGATTTGATTTGATCTCCACCGAAATAGTAGACGAGCTCTTCTTCAATGTGTTGTGATGAGATATTGGCGATTTGGACACGGAACGGCGCCGAGTCTGGCAGTGCGCGGCGACGGTCTGGCGATAATGACGTCGTGCCGCCGCCGCCGCCATCGACTTCGTCTCGATCGTCGTCATTCTCAATGTCCGAGTTGTTGAACTGCAAGAAGAAATGGGATTTAAGGCTGCTGAGCAATCATCGGGGGCTCATTTCTTGGAGCATTTTGAGCTAAATTTCGGCAAATTCTGAAGCTGAGCAATCGGCTAGTATTTTGGGTCATTTTAGGAGGAAAAGGATCTGTAATGCGTCATTTTTCAGTGATTTTAAGCCCCCAAAAAAAAGGCCGAAAAACTGGGGGTTACTGTAGATCCATTTTTCCACTATTTTCAGTAATTTTAGCTTTTTTTTTGAGATTTTTCGAAATTCCGGGGCTCACTTTCAGCCAAAAAACTCTAAAAACTGGGTCATTTTGGACCATTTCCAGTCAAAATTCAGCATTTATTTCTTTGAATTTTGGGGGGTTAAAATCATCAATTTTTAAGACTGAGCAATCTCTGTGCTGAAATGTGCATTTTCAGCCTATGTTTAGGGCCAATTTTTTGGCCAATTTTTGTCAAAATTACAGTAATCCTCAGAAAGCGATCGCGATTTTCTCTGATTTTTAGACCATTTTAAGCCAAATTTCAGCCATTTTTTAGATCATAATTTTCAGTAATTTCAAGCCTTAAATCAGCTGATGGTTTACTGTAGGTTACTGTAGATCGATTTGCGCTCATTTTTCCTCAAATTTTCAGACAATTTCAGCCAATTTTCGCCCCATTTTTGAACCAATTTCAGTGCGATTTTTCAGCCAATTTCAGACATTTTTAGCTCTCAATGGGTCGGAATTTTCCACAATTAATTACTATCGATTTCCCCCCCATGCATCGCGAATAAATATA